GCCGCGCGGACTGGGGCTAGGAGGGGGATTGGTTTCTACAAATGTCGGGATTTATTTTGTTTCTCTGAGTAGAACTGTAATTTTATTGTCTGTTTGTTTCTTGTTGTTGTTTATTGAGGTGTACCAATCCCATTTTAAGATTGCAACAGGTTACCAATTGTCATTTTTTGTTTTGTTCTTCCGTCAGGCTCTCGGATGTCTTCTTTACAAGTTGTGTTTTTTTACTTTACCGTTTGGTGAAAGTCCTCTGGCCATACAAAGTGGTCAGTTTACCTTTCCTGAAAACTCGCGCCATTCGCCTGAACTTCACAGACTAATCAGTACGTTTGTTTCCATATTTTATTCCTTATATTTATTTTGTTGTGCTCTTGTTCCTTGCTAAGTAGCGTATTTTTTGCGACTTACACTTGACTTCCTTTATGTTTTCAATTTGATTTTAAGGTTACATTCTTAACCCGGACCCAGACAGTAGACCTGATATCTTCCAAGTGTCCTATGTAGCATTTAAACTCAGAGGACTTGAGTGCCCTGTTGCCAATACTAAGGTTTGTCTTGTTATTTCTTATTTTCTTGCATCAGCGCTAGTGGTTTTAGTAGCAGCAAACTTGGATGCAAAAGTTACTTCATTTTACTTTCTTTCCAAGACCTGGATACAATTAGCCTCCTTCGCTACCGTTGTTTGGTCTCGTTACTCAACGTGCTCTCTCCCCCACCAGAGAGCGTGTTGCGTGACGAAACCAAAAAAACAGCTACGAAGGAGACCAGGAGACAACACACCATTTAATCCAAGGGCTCCAAGCTCAACTCCATTTAAATTCGCTATAAGGCAACCCAAAATCGTTTAACCCTTTACACCCTGAAATCAGTATGCATATTCTCCATACTGTTCTCTATACATTTCCAAAGTTGCTGACAAGGAGAGTTTGTTTAACAATCAAGAGCTTCTTTAGTTGGTGATCATTTACTTTATTCTCGTTACCTTAATGTTTGACTCAGGGGTGATATGGTTGGGAGAAACAAGATGCCAATCACTTTTAGGGGTCAGAGGGTGAAAGGGCTGCCCGAAATGAAATTTAAAAAAAGGGAAAAAAAAAGAGAGCGATTCCCCTCAAAACTGCACTCGTTTGATAACGACTTGTTCTTTTCGTCTGTTACAGAATGTAAGAACACCTGACTCTCTGCCTGAGATATCATCCGAAGGACCGCAGAAGACAGAAAACATTGGTCGTGTTACTCCCAAATTAAGGTGAGAATTGAGCTCGTATTTATACAGTTAACGGAATTATGAGCTGTTACAATATGCACAGTTCATATGGATGGTAGGTGACCTGTTCTTATCTGTAGTCAGTTGACAGCTGATCTAGACGCAAGTGATATTTACGTGTGATCATTTTTCGAGCTGTTTGCACTTGACTTTGCCGTTGATTTAAGATTATACTTTGCTAACACCCGGAATTGATTCTTTGTTGTAGGCGGCCTGAAGGTCCCGTTACCACTTCTCTCGCCCCTCGCCAGCGCCCACGAGCAGGTCAGGGTGCTCAGCAGTTGGCTTCTTCCCAGGCATCATCGCATTTAAGCCACATTGCCAGTCCTCAGCTAAGCCGCAAGCAATTCACGCAGGCGCAGAGAGGAACTCTGGATGTTCAACATGGTCATGGCTTGAGTCACATGGCCAGTCCTAGACAAAACAGAAGGAACATCTCACAGAATCATACAAGGGAACAAGAGAATTATGGACCTCATCTGCAAGCTCAAGGAAATGTGGGTCAAGTACAGGACCCTAGAAATATAGCTCATGGGGGGCCAGATATGGTTGCTGGGCAGCTTAGGGGTGTCCCCCAGGCTTCAACAGTCTTTCATCAAGGTCGTCAAGCCCAACAGGGTGTAAATGTGGGCTACCCACAGCAAATGACAAGGGAGCAATATCTACAGCAACAGTACCTGCAGCAACAACAGTTAGCTCAGCAGCAGTACTTGCAACAACAGCAGCATCAGCAGCAGATGTTACTTCGGCAGCAGGAACATCAAAGACTGCTCCAACAGCAGCAACAACAGCAGCTTCTACAACAGCAACAGCAACAGCAGCTGGCGCAACAACAGTTGAACTACCAGAGAGAAGTACAACCAGGGCAACCCTACCATCCTGGTTCACAACAACAGCGACAGCAAAATGTCACCCAGCAAATGTATCATGATTCTGACCAGTGTCAGCTCAATCCATTCTACGAATACCAGCAGTATCCAGTTGAGACGGCTTACCAGTGTGACGTTCACGACCGTGGTGCCGTTCAGCCTCAAATGTCTATTCAGTCTTCTCAAGGCTCAGATCAGGGTTCATCACTTCATGCCAGACCTGGCAACGGTGATGCCAGATTGTTACGCCCACGTTACATGTCACACAACCGCTCCAGGTCTGATCCTAATTTTGCCATTGGCAACCAGTCTAAAGTGCAAGTTCAAGCAGCACCCTCAGTTCCTCTCCCAAACGAGATAAATTCGCACTATCGAAGTCCCAGTGACCCATCTCTGAACCTCGCCAAAGAGAATGATCAGTCAGACATGCCTTTAGTAAATATTGAGTCCAACGAGGAATCCACACCCCACTGGAACCCGTTTAGTCCATTCTACCAATCAAATGAGCAGGATTTTGTGGCCCCTCCAAGTGATGTGACTGATGACGACTTCGCCTCACTCCGGGAGAGTGATGTGAAGAAATCTCCCTTGGATGTTAATATCACTTATCATCAACCCTACACAGCTAGTCCACATGCGTCTGAATTGCAACAAGAAACGGATTTGTTCGGAGCAACTGCATTTGGTAGCCACATGCCGGAGTCCTACCCGCAGAGAGCTATCGGCGAATTTGCAGATGGGGAAAATTCCGCTGCCCATTTTACGGACGATACCAGTGCTGGCACTGATCCACAGCAATACGTTACACACGTTGTCCAAGATGGTAATAACCCTTTTCTCCAAGGCTACCGCAGTTCTGAGATTGAACAACCCCTGAATTTTATGGATCAGGCTTCAAGTGATAGTGAACCGGAGGAGAGCACCGAGTTGGCTGAGTGCCCACCCCTCTCTCCGGGATTTTCTGATCCCTTCGGTGCGGCACCCTTCGTACTTCAGAAAGGTAAACAAGGTCCGCCGGCTTCTCCAGATGCTTTTGGAGCTGCTCCATTTTCCCCTCGGGCCCCTTCACAACCGAAAGGCAACAGTGAACAGTTGGTTAAAAAACTTGAAGATCGCAGCCAGCCTAATGCTGACTCATTTGGTTTGTCAAGCCAGTTTGCTTCGATGCAAGTAGGGACTGTTGCAGGAGGTTCTGTAAATAGTGTAGTTTCCACTCCTTTTCATGATCTAAATGAAGGCTTTGGAAACCCTGCGCCATTCGGGGGAAATGTTGAGCGCGATAGCTCTCAAGGAGCCGCTTTTGAGGATCAATCGGGCTTAGTAAACCCTGCCGCAGATTTTATGGACAATCTGGATGACCCATTTGGTGGGGTTTCATTCAACGCGAACCCTGCCGTTAGAAGAAGAAACGCCAGGAAACAGCAGGTATTGATGAAGGAGGCTCCCGTTTCCGCAGCGAGGAGTGGTGATCAAGTTCCTCGGGCTCGCCCTAGGCGACTTTTACCACAGACTCCAGACAAGCCTCCTGGAGGAACACGTCCAGTTCAACAGGCCAGGATGCAAGGCCCTGTAGTTATTTCTGTAGGCCAACCATCACAAGGCCCTAAAAAAATCTGATCCAAATTCGACAAGAGATAGCTCGGCGTACGCTGCAACATGATCATTTACACCTACTGTGCATAGGGCTGATGAGAGAACACACTAAAACGAGCATTGATCTAATGGGATTGTTTGAAGTACTTGAGGTGTAACGCTGTATGATGTACTGTGTGTTTCAGTGGAAAAGGATGACTTATTTTCGTCGGACAAACCAGTTGTTTTCAGGAAGTGAAATTAGAATTTACGATTGTGCAATTGACGTCCATCACTTATAAGTTTCAAACAGGGTTTAGAGATATTAGATTGGCGGCAGTTAAAATAAGTTTTATACATGCAAGTTGGACCAATGTGCTCTAAATCTTGCATTTTATTGTTGTAGCGTTTGCTTTCTTCTACGCGCTTTTCATGTGCTAGCGGATTTTGATTCTTATAAAGCAAACCAGGAATAACAAAAAGACGAGCCGTTTACAACGAGATTGTTGTCAAGGTACACACTGCATTCATGTGATGTTCTGCCAACTTTTACCAAAATTTTATCAATTTTTCCAGTTAGAGCGAATTTCGATCGAGGTTCGTAGAACCAAAACTGAAGTAATCACTAAGGCCAATCAGAAGAGAGGTAACGATCTCGAGGCGCCTATGAGAACTAAAATGGAAACAAGCCATCCTCCGAAGCGCGTGAAATCGCAAGCGAATAAGTTCTGATTAGGTTTAGTTTTGAGTTGAATCAGTCGAGAGGATGGCGAAAATTTTGAGACCAATCACAGACTAGAGAAAGGAAAAACCTATGCAATCCGAGATTGCTTTCCACACGTGTTTGAAAATTGCTCTGAGTGCTATTTCATCGTTTTAAAGAACGTACGGGAAGTATAGACTGTTTTGGTACAACTTGAGGTCGACTGAACTGATATTTTATGTGATTCGGTTGTTTCAGAATAGGCTAGGTTTAAGTTGAACCAGTCTGTTCCTGTGCCGGCCCACAGTGTCTGCATTGTCTTCCACTAACAGAAATGAAACATTATTTTCGTGTACGTGGAAATTGTAGCAGCCGTTGTTTGATCGCGTGACCCGTTGCGTGGCACAGAAATATGCTTCTTGAAGTGACTAAGCAGCGGCTGCAAAGATGAGTAAAGTGCTTGAATCCTTGCCGTTACACCAAGGTCACGTTTCTCTTTTTGGACGTGTTAATTAGGCATTTGAAGTACGTTAGGCGTTTTGTAAATAGATGTTAGAAAATATACCAGGGTGGAGATGAAATTGCAAGGCGCTATCAATAAATCTTCTTTTAATTTTCTTACTTGAATATCGCAAAAATTAATCCAGAAAAAGCGGCGTAATATATTAAACTAAATTTTTCGATGTCTTACGTCTACTGTTTGTAACCTTGCAAGCCAGGGGTCTACTGAAACGAATTTTTGAATAGATGTTGCCAGCATTATTCTTGCTAGTGAAATATCGAAAACCTGCAGAGTTCTAAGCGGAAAACCAATAACTTGATTTCTCCATGTCTACGACGAGCTAAAATTGGCCCGCTACCAAAAGCAACGGGAAACGAAAAATAGCAATCGTCAGTTGGAGTTCATAATTTCCTAGTTGCTTAACCCTTACACCTTAATATCTGTATGGTTATATGCATACGTTATCCAAACTGTTCTCAATAGGTTTCGTAAAATTATGACGTGGAGAATCAGTTTGATAATCAAAAGTTTCTTTAGTAATCATTTCCTCCATTCTGGTGACTGTAATGTGAGATTCGGGGGTGATATTGTGAGGAGAATTTAGATGCTCGTCACTCTAAGGAATCAAAGGGTTGAAAGAAAAAGTTCACACCTGAACAGCCGTACTGATTTAAAATTGTTAATTATCATAATCAGTGCTGACCCTGACTGTTGTGCGTAGCTTTCGAAGCATTCTCGGTCTTTACCGGCTCTAGATGTTTTATGGATTATCTTAGATTTGTTACCGGTTCTTCATTGCTAGAGCGACTCACTTTCGACCTTAGTTATCCTCAGTGTATCTACGTTAAGGACTTCATTTTAAATTTTTTTTACTCGGCCTCTTTTGTTTGGTTTTGTCTAGATTCTTAGCTGTGTTTTGCTTGTTTGAAATTGTCTTAAACTGAAACGAAACCTTCAAAGAAAAGTTGTGAGGCTATAGATAAACCTAAGAGAGGGAGAGATAAACTCAAAGAACACAGAGATAATTGAAAATACGGGAGATTAACGCGTTTTGCTAAGGAAAAGATATACCAAAAGAAGACAGGGATGGTTAGGTAGGGACGAAATTGAAACAAATTGAAAATAATGAACTTTAAAGATTTAGGGTGAGGTTCTTAAGATGCTCGAATCGTGGTGCACCTCCTTTGATGAAAAAAGTTTACATCTGTTATGAGAAATCGCTAACTTCATCCGGGTCTTGTAACCAACATCAGTTCTTGTGAGTCTGATAGAACACTTCCACCTCATGGGGTTGGAAATTGTAAGTGCCTGCCAACAGGCTTCTCGTGTCACTCGCGGAGTATTTGTACCCAGCCGGAGGAACATACGTGTGACCCAAGTTGGTGTAGGAATTCGTGTTGGAGCCTGCAGAGTTCGCGATGTAAATGTCGTGTCCACCACCGAATGTTGGTCCATAACCGTTATTTCCATACATGGCATTTCCAGAGTTTTTCACGTGGAGCTTGAATGGTTCCAGTCCATAACCATTTTTAAACGAGAAAATGAAACTCCAAGTCGAGTCTGTGTAAGAACTACCGGAATCTAAACATGGAAAAAAGCTGGAATGAGTATGAGTCGCATATAATCCTTTACACCCAAACATTAGCATGCGTAATTCTCCATACTGTTATATAACTTTTTAAAAGTGCTGACAAGGAGAATTTGTTTAACAATCAACAGCGTTTTAGTTGTTGTTGTTGTGAGGAGAAATTAGATGCCAGTCTCTCTCAGGGTATAAAAGACTAACGGTACTTCTTTAGGCTGATTCACTTTTAGCCTCTTAGGGCAAGTCTTTTGGTTACTGTAAATTTTAAGTGTTTTTTTTTACTTACGCCAGTTTTGGTCGGTGTATGCCCCAAATATGTACTCTCCCACTCTAATAAACGTCACCGAAGGTCCTAAGCTGTTACACTGCGAGTGGAATGTACTGGAACTCCATCCATGATCAGTGGCTCTGTAGCACAGACTCCACTTGGCTGGCAATGTAGACACAGGACCCAGCCACCCTTTAAGGAGCTCCCAGTATTCTGTATTGTTTAGTAGAATTTCTGAGTGCTCGAACACTGGCCCTGAAAGTTTTAGATTGGACTGTGAGGATCAAGATTGAATAACTCATCCAAAGCTGGCAAGAATAGGTGTCTTTCAAAGGTTTGTATGTGCTATTTTCTGGAAAAACTGTGTTTTTCTGATCTGTGTATTTCAATGAATAAATGGCAGAGCCAGTCAAGTTCTTAAAAGCCTAGTGGTTGTGCGTCATGCGCGAAATCCAGAAGTTTGAAACCCGATTCTTCGAAGTCTAGTTAGCCGTCAGATGCCTAAGAGCGGCTAGCATTGACTTCCTTTACAGTATTTGCCATGGAAAGATAGACGATTTGGTTCACTGATTCATAAGCAAAACCACTCCATAAATTCGGCTACTACTGACAATGTTGATACATGTGCTGACCCGGTAATCTCACCTTCACAAGTTGGATCTTCTCCCGTCCAGTTTCCATTCTTATCACAAGCTCTGACGTGTGGTCCACGAAGATGGTATCCTTCGTTACACTTGTATGTGACATTTTTTCCTTCCCAAAATTTATTTCCTATTCTGTAACCATTCTCGAGAGGAGCAGGTTCATCGCATAAACAATTGCCTGATGAAAGAAATCAAATATGCCGTTCTAGTTTAAGCTTACAACCGAACTTTTACAGCAAAATTAGTTTATTTTTTCTTACACGTCGGTACCACGTTACTCCAGGTGCCATTTTCCAAGCACAGTCTATTTGTAGGTCCTTCCAAGTGGTATCCTGTGTCACAGGCGAAAATAACCATCTCTCCTGCCCAGTAATTCTCTCCAACCTTGTATCCGTTCATGGGAACATGAGGCTCGCCGCATCCTATACAAGCTCTGGAAATTTAGACTGAATGAGCACATGATTAAAATTGCAGACAAAAACCATCATTGCCTTCACAAAGGCTGGTAATATAGGTTACACATAGGATCCATAAAAGATGATACCCTACTCACCTACAGTGGTACTGATCTCTGCAGTACCGTTGTCGAAGTTTTTAAAGAAACACTTGTACACCCCCTGGTCAGAGGGGCCAAAACTTGAAATAACAAGTTTTCCTTTCACTTCGTCCTCAGTTTTCACAGTGGTGTTGGTTGAAATAATCACTCCATCTTTGCTCCACTCTAGACTGGGCACAGGAGACCCACGTGCAGCACACTGCAAAGTAAAACTGTCATCGACCTTTGTTACCTTAACAACTGAAGATGGTGCTGTGGTGATTGCTGGAGGAACTGTTGACAAAAAAAAATTAAAACAATGCGGAAATCGCCTGAATCCAAATTTAGCTTACAAAGTTGAAGTTGGTGGTAGATTTTTGTGCCCAAAGTAAGGAGGAATATGCAAGGGTTAGTCTTTGGTGCAAGTACAATGGAACCTGCATAAAGTGTGCACCCACGGAACCCTCGTCGCGCGCCCGCCTTATGTTAGGTGACAGAAGGTTTGATATTTTGCGCAATAATAACTGATAAACGTTTAATCGCGGTGGTATCTGTCTCTTCACAGTTTCTTTGACCTTTGAACTAGCTAAAATGTGCAAAAAATATGTAATTTCCGTTGGGGTTTTATCACAGATTTAGGCAGTAAATGAAAATGCTCAGAATCTCATTTGACTTATGTTTTTTTATTTGCCATGCCAGTTTTGGTTTTTCTCTAAAATACTTCGTCCACTTACCGACGGGTTTCACATCAAGCACAATAAGTGCATATACATGACCCAGGTGGTTTTCCCCTCGGCACATGAACGGCCCTCTGTCCTCCAGCCTAATGTCTTTGATCACCAAATCGTTACCCGCCACCACGTGACGATCAACAGTTACTGGCTTTTTGAATGAGCGAGTCCACTGTATCTTTGGTGGGGGGAAGCCGAAGATGTTGCATGACAGAGTCGTCTCCCATGTTTCGTATGCTGTGTGGTAGGTCTCAGGCTTCTCAACAAATCTTGGAGTAACTGAAAAAACATTTACTCAGCTTATTAATTTTTTTTGAGGTCTTGCGTTAAATGTGTGAAGCCTAGAGCGACCAGGGTCTACTGATCAGGAATCTTTGAGTAGATGGCCCGGGTGCCAGCGTTATTCTCGCTGGTGTAGAAACGAAAACCTGCAAATCTTTAAACGGCGAACCATTAATTCATGTTAATTCCATGTCTTCGACAAGCTAAAATTGGCCAGCTACTAAAAGCAACGGGTAGGAGTTTATGATTTCCTAGTTGCTCTGGAAGCTTGAAGATTTTCAATCATGATGATTGATGCTTAACCTAGAAGCAGTAGCAGTAGCAAACCTTTATTTAACTAGGGTAATCCCTTCAGAATACTTAAAAGTATATCTGTTATCAATAGGAGCCCTGAACCTGACTTTTGTCTGTAGCCTCTTAAAATGAATTTTAGCTCTTAAAGCATTTTTAACCACTGCCCTAGATGTTTTTTGAATCATCTTAGATTTAACCTAAAGTGATGAAACAAAAGACGAAAACCTGGAAAGGGAAATCTGATAACTGCCTCTCCTGATTTCTAACCATCTTCTACGAACGGCATTTATGCCAAAGCAAACTTCTCTCCAACCATGAGACACTTGAACCTTTTGTTATTATTACTATTATTATTATTATTATTATTATTGTTCATTCCTTAAGAAAATGAGGGCTCGACACACTGCTGCTTTTCGAGAAATGAGCCCAGAATCTTAGCCTGAAAGAGTAAGACGAGCAGATGAAACATCACATCACCTGGTCACTACATTGTCAAAAGTATCTCAGTGACACCATGATATCGGAAAAATCATTAACATTACATTCACTACATGCAACAAACTTTAAAGACATGAATAAAACCTTTCTTACTTTCGACAACAACTTTTACAGTCGCCGACTCGACGCCCAGGAAATTCCTGGCTTCACATTTATACAAGCCTCGATCGTTGAATTGAATACTGGGAAACGTCAACTCTCCCGTCTCTTTGTTGTAGAGTCTACTGTCCATCTTTTGCCCATCCTTGTACCACGTGATCTCTGGTTTTGGATAACCATTGGGGGAACAAGGCAAGGAGACTTTGCGTCCCTCTTTCGCCGTTAAACTGGGTGGTGGCTTCTTTTCAATCCCTGGGATATCTGAAAGCAAATATTAATGAAACAACTAACCTCCATTTTATCTGGGGTAAGGGGGGGAATGGGGTGGGGTTAGACGATTTTGAGAGATCACATGATTTCCAGGTGGAATGGAGAGAGATCAGTCGTTACTAACATAATATGGAGACAGGACTATTGACTGCCAATGAGGAAGGGTCATTAGGATACCATAGTGCTTTTTAATTGTGACACAACCAAAATCTTCCGATCCCCCTCCCTCCCCCTCAAATTAAAAATTTCGTTGCTTTACACTGAGCAAAAGGATTGCCTTCTTATTATGACTTTCTCCGCGATTTTCATTGTATCATGTGAGTCCAGCTCAAAGTT